ATAATTTAATTTGGATTAAAAAAATGCTAGGGTTATTAAACTTTACTGGATCTTGTTCAATTTATCTCTGATTTATTAAATAAAATTAAATTACTTCCTTTTGGATTCACTCACATAAAATTCTCCATAAAACGCGCTACATCATGTTCTTAGCACTTTTAAACATCATAAGATTCTCATTCTGTCATCTTTCATTATTCTTGATGTCTTCTCAGCTGTTTAAATATTTTCCATCTTTATTAGTCTGTAGAATAAATGTGACGATAAAAAAATATTAAATGTTTATCAACATAAAGTTATTCATGTTGAACATTTGTAGATGTAATGATGAAATGCCAAAAAAGGCGCGCGAGATGATTTTTTTTTATCAAGTGAGATTTAATTTTAAATTAAAGCTGCTTTGTATGTGCCTGAATCAACTGTGAATGCAGATGCTAATATTATTCACAATTGCAAATTTACTCTGAAAATAAATTCAATATAATTTTGCTGTTCTTATTCATCAGTGATGTTGAAAGTTTTTAATCAGATTTAAGCAGTGTGAATTGAATTGATTCTGATCTAGAACAGAGTGTTTAGCTTTAGATAGGATGTAGTATGAGAAAAAAAATGATGCATAATTTTTCATTTATAATTTAACAATAGTTGTGAGAATAAAGAAGTTTGTAGAGCTAAGAGTACAATAGAGTATGAATATTTTTGCGACAGTTTAAACCGTTGGATGAAATTATGAAGCAACTTATATTCCATTGTTTGTTAAATAGACAGCTAGACAATCTTGACAGGAAGTTGGGAACATTTTAATGCAATTTTTTAGATGCTTTTTGAGTTGTTGATTATAAAAGAACAAGAATTGCTCGAAAGGATGCAATGTCCTACTCTAAAGGTGTATTTTGGGTGATTTTGATTAACGTAAAGGGTTTTGATTTCTATAGCTTTGCAGTTCAAGTCCAAGTCATAATATAGGGTTTTCTGATCTACTTCTTCGCTGCTTTCCTTACGCAAGCTGTTTGAACACCACATATCTAGATATACCCCTACCAAACCATTAATTCAACATGACTCCCACAAACCCATCACATTTCACCCTGAATCATACTCCAGATCTCACATGATGAGCCAAGATTATAGTTAAATTTGTAAGCAAATGTAAAAAAGGCATGATTGCTCATCACATTTCACATAAAAAAATCTTATTTCATCAACGATATTTTAAAGTACTTTATATCGGAAATTTCATAAGATATTGAGGAAAGAATGTGTTCCCTTTCATGACGATGAAAGAAAAGAAAAGAAAAGAAAATAAGAAATGTTCAGCATCAATTTATATCTAGGAAAATTGCATAAAAAGCACATCATCTTCCCATTCTATTCAGATGAATCTATATTGCTGCTTTTTTCATATTTTCATCGTCGCTGCTCTAGAACACACATACACAATCAATGAATATTCTTGATGAGCGTCTTTTCACATGTAAATTATCGCATCTAAGTGATTTCAAATTGTAGCATTAAGTAATGCTGATAGCATCTTAAGAAGAACATTTTATTTTTTACTTTTCATTTTTCCTTCATCCAAATTCCACATTCTTTAAAGAAGAAGCAGAAAAAAAATCAATTGTGAAAATATATTTGAATGGAAATGTTATCAGCTAAATTACCCCGATATTACATTACTTGAATAAGGCCGAAGATAAAACGAGTCTAATACAGAAAAGAAATTGTTTGCATGCCGTTTGAATATAAAGAATTCGACAATGACAATTGATATCATATAACATTTTGATTCTTCAATCTTCACACCACTTATCTTCTCCCCGCTCTTGCTCGTACGCGACTCACAAATAAAACTTTTTTTATTTTTGACTGTATGTATATCTTTATGTACTTGCACAGCTGTAGATCGAAACATGGAAATGGCACTCATGTCTCATTTCTTCAATTCTATGTTGCTTTTTTTTTCCTCTCGCAAGAATGAAAAATATTTAAATTCTAAACACGACAATTCTAAATTGATTTTCGATATGTGCTTGTGTGGTGAACTCTTTCCTATTCGTACAGTCGTGCTTTGTTTCTCGTTCTCATTGTGTTGTTGTAATAAACAATTGAACTCGACACACACTGAAATATTTAGCAACAATCAATGTGGATGGGAATGAATTTTTAAAGTAGTTAATTGTAGTGGCTCGTAATTAGAGGTTTTGATAGCGTTCGACATGGAAATGATGTCTTGGTAGTTGAAGATGTTTGTGTTTAGAATTATTGATGAATTATTTTTTTTTGGAAAATTGATTTCAATAGAATTCCATGTAAATTAGAGAACTTCCTTTATAAAGCCATCAATCAATTGACTATATTATTTTAAAAGTATGTCATATCTATCCGATTAAGTCAATTTTTATCACAAACTTTTTCCATAAATTATCTCAATATTCGCAGTCAGTTCACACAGATTTTTCAATGACTTAGATGCCACCTGTTTCCTAACTTTGCTTGCGAAAAAAAAATTGTATTACTTGAAAAGTGTTTTGAGATAGATAATGTGATTACATCATGGCATCACATGACAGCTTTACATATAATTTACTGAGTAGCAAGTCTGTTAGAAAAAAGGGGCATGAAGTACTAATTTGTTTGGGAAATATTTGTACATGGGCTGTTTAATTGAATAATATTTTATTTTGGGTGTTGAGATTGCTGTTGGCAAGGGTGTGCTGGTGTAATTATAATTTTTTGAGAAAGAAAAATGATAAATTGGTCCTACAATGCTAAAATTTAAAGAATGATATCAAAAGAATGATGATCAAAACGGTAGTTTCTGAAGTTTCCCAAAAATATGCTGAGCGATACTAGTGTCTTTAGGAGAGACACAAGGGTAGCCGGACGTGACTTAACCTAGAACATACTAAAAGTGAGTGAATATCCAATGATAAAGGATCTGGTTTCTCCGAAAATTCCTCAATTTTTCATTCTTTTCTTTTTATTTCCAACATAACTGCAAGTTCATTTCTTATAAGAAATTTTCCAGTCCACCCTATTCATCCGAATTTCCTACATAAATCAAAATTTAATGCACCACGAATGCATGAACGCATTGAACATGAGAAATATGATATTGCTGATGTCAGTATAGTAAAATATTTCATAGCAACAGAAGCATAAAGCATGAGAGAAACCACATTTTAGGAAATGGAATTAAAATATTTTGAATGCCATGTGAATCCAGCAAGAAACACATTTTTTCTATCAATTTAAAGGCACTTACAAATGAGATGTCTTAAAAAAAATCAATGAATATCATTTCCTTATAATAACTTGGTAAGATCCATTGATTAAATCTTAATATCTTGTATCCATAAAAATGACACTTAAAACGTAGTCTCACCTTCTAACGACTCAATATATTCGCTACTAAAAGCTACAAAAATGAATAAAATTTTTTTTTCTTGTTCTTTTTCCAATCTTCATAAAAATTAGCGAACGCTAAAATATGTATCAGATAAACGATAATTACGCAATTTATATTCCGCTATATTGATAACGAGCAAGCTCTTGTTCTGAGCTCAATTTTCTCAATTTATCGATTTTATGAACAGCAGCAAAAAAAAAGAAATTGTCGCAAAAAAGACATAAATTTCGGCTCATGAATATTGGCCTTGATAAGTTTAAGTTAAAGTATTTATGTTGTCATATTCAACATACTTTTCGGCACATAAATTTATTCACCATAATCTATGAGACTAATGAGTAATTTATGGAAATTTTCAACTCTTTTTTTTTGGAGATGAATGAGAGTTGCGAATGAGTAAACTCATAATGAGAAATTCAGACTTTTTTTTTGGTATTAATTGTGTCCGATATGGAGGATGTGCTGTACTTAAATAATGTATATACTATTAAGGGGCAACTACGTACTAAGATTGATAGATTTCGACTAACTTAGCTGAAAATTGTCAAGGAAATTACAAACCTGTCTGTGTATCGATTTCGCACTTAATTTTGTACAATTGCATGTCTTAGGCACATGATAAAAAAGCGTGAGAATCCTTCATGAAACAATTTTTACGTGACTGATGCTGTTCTACTGCCATTCTAAGTTAGTCTTGCATGATCAACTTTTAATAGCTGTCACTTATGAATGACCCTTAATGAGAGTTTTATAATTGTTGGTGCAAATTGTGAAGACCGTAAAAAACGATACCAAATGAGAACTTTTTGTCGGTCAGTCAACGAGACTCTGATACTTTCATACAACGTACATAGAGCATGAATATATCATTACATCTACATCCAACCATTCAATTAACAAACTCACATGATTTAAAATTCAAATGAGGATTGAATAATTGAAAATGATTTTTAAATTAAGGCATTTTCTATTGTTTTGAATTTCTTCTTTCTTTCTCAAAGAGTCAATAAATCAAATTCAATTACTTACTTACATCCATTATACTCATACTGAATTTTTAAGTCCCCGACTTGAGTTTATGAGACATTATTTGACTTATTATTGTTATTGTTCTTCTTATTTATTGTAATATAACTTAGCATACATCCATAAATATAATGTGACACGAGTGCCATAAGTTCTTCATACTTGCTTATTTGCTTGATGAATATTGATTGAATCAAACATCTTTCAATATTATAAGAATGAAAAAGTTTCAAAAACAGATTTCTTTCGATGTAAAAATTAATTTCAGTTTTTTCTTCTTCTTTTTATTTCTTTCTCCTTCAATTTTGGAGCTGGAAGGTTCTTTTCTTCGTTTTAATTTAAAAACTTTGTCGTTTTTTGTGTGAGCAATTCTCTCTTTTTTTGTATGTCACATGAAACTAATTTAATTCTCGCTTACAAGCAAGATAGATTTATGAGACGATGTGCGGTTTTTCTCAGAATTTTTTTTACATCTTTTTCTTTCGCTTGTGCAGTGTCAATTTTTGTTATAGTTTTGTGGATAAAAAGCTGTGTTTTCAAGAAGTTAAGAAATTAAAAAGTTTTAATGCCTTTGAGGTTGCTCTCGGCGCATTTTTTGGGCGTATCTAGAATGATAAAAAGGAATTGTGCTGGTTTTTTTGGTAAATGGAAACAAGAAATCTGAAAGAAGATTAAATTGAATGTTCTACCTTTTTTTTAGATACTAATCCAAAATAAAGGAATTTGAACGCATGAAGATTTAAATTAAGGAGTTATAATTACGACTGGATTGTTATGATTAATACAGTTCTAGAAGTCAATGATGCCATTCTCTCTCCCAGTGAAGTAATGCAATAAACTTACTCTAAATGCTAGCAATAATCACTCCAACAACAATAAATCAATTGAACAAGTTCTCATGCACATTTCTGCAGTCAAACATCCTTGACCCCACAAATTCCAGACCACACAAATTACTCACGAGACATACTCATAATTTAAATCGCAAATGAAGATTGACGAAGACATTCTGTAAAATTAATTAAAATGATCCACATATGTGGCGTCAAAATGAGAACAATAATTCACATTATCTCAACAAATTGCTCTACAGTAAAAAAGTAAGAAAATAGAATCCATAAAAAAGCCAAACTTTGCAGATAAAGATTGCAGAAATTCGATCTCTATATTTTTTTTTGTTTCAGTTTAAATTTTGCTTCTTAATTCTTTATATTCTGTGATATCTTGCATTTCAAATCATTAAATTCAGCCAAGACATAGACTGCGATAAAAATGAGGGAGCACGAGAGTGAATTAAGTAGGATAAATGATACAGATTATCCGAGCGGCACAAGGTGGCAGGTGTCAGTCATATGACTGTTATATGATCGTTTTGAAAAGGCAGATAACAGTTATATGACGGTTATTTGGTAGCAATTATATGACAATTTTATAAAACTGTTATATGACTGCCATGTGACTGCCATGAGAAAAAAATTGATCACAGTTACTATTGTTTTTTGGAAAATTATGAAAACCATTCAGTTGAAATCTAGATTTTGAAGTGTAAAGTTCATTTTTTTGTTACTCTTAAAATTTATATCGGTGAGGAATTAATGAGCAAAATAGGATGGACTTAGTAAAGGGTGAGTAAAACATTTAAAAACTTTTATTTATATGTTATTTTTTCATTCATAATTATTATATAGGAACGAAAATTGGCATAAAAGAAATTTCAGGACACATGCATCTTTTTCAATACATAATCAATCGAAGTGCTCCAGGAACTTTTGATGATTTAAGAGCAGGATCAAATTCTTCACATACAGGAATCCCCAGAGCACGATGGGTTAAAAAGAAGGCAGAAAAAGCCGTAAAGCTTATTGAAATTTTTTTCCATTTTTTTTCTATTATACATTTTCATAAATAAACAGAAAATTTTAACCCCTTAATATTTTGTAATTTTTTAAATCCATTTAATTTATATTTCAGCCTTAACAGCCTTTAAAATTGCCATATAATTGATATGAAATTGCCACAAAATTGTCATCTCATTGCCATATAATTGCCATTTGACTGAAATTTGATTAAAGTACTGCCATCTGTGCCTGTCATAAAACTGGTTAAATACTGTCATATAACAGTTTCCGTTTTGTGTCAATTTTTATTGATGGCAGTCATATGGCAGTCATATGGATTACTTTATCATACTATTTGGTTGACATATCGTCAACATCGATAGCAATTATCTGTCATATGACTGCCATAAAGCAGTTTTTATTGCCATCAAACGATGGCAATTGACACGTGGCAGCTGACATATGGCAGTCATATGACAATTATATGACACCTTTGTGCCGCTCGGGTTAGGCATATTAATTGAGTTCATTCAGCAAATTAACTCCGGTCTTTTCGGAGACGAAAATTTAATTGAACTAAATTGTTATGTCACATAAAATCAAAATCTGTGTAGTTCATTCATTTATTGTCAGATCATTTACCCTCTTTGTAATAATCTTCAGACTTTGGAGTTGTATAGCACTTCACATGTGACTCATTGAAAATCTTATTTTTTTTTTACTTTAATCAAATTTTTCCATGCTTTTATAACCACACATATATTATATTTTCTTGTCTTCTTTAAATGTACTTATTTTAAGTAAGAATATTTATCATCATCATCATCATCATTGAGTAGATTTATGAGTATCGTATAAACAAAAATGTACATTCTTTCACTCGAATGTAGATACTTGACGTATATGAATCTATCCCGAGTAATGCATGGTGTGTGGGAAGATGAGTTTTGAATTTCGGATTTGAAAGATTTTCAATTTTTCATTTAGATGAAAGCTTTTAGAGGATCGAGGGGTGGAATGGATGACTTTTGGTATTTTTTTGGTTTATTAGGATGAGTTGTTAACTTAAAAACCCTTTGAGAGTAAAATTCATATCACTATCAGATGCTTGGCATGAATAAAGTGACACGGTTAAGGCATTGGGTGCTTTATTTTGAAAACCTAGCTCAACTGCACTATTGTAAGTGTCATTTAAATCATTTAAGCTATGTCAATACTTCGTTCACTCACATCATTTGTGAAGCAATTAAAGCTAGTTCTTAAATTTCCAATACCAAGTGCAATACCGTCTAAGTCAGCAATTTTTATTGAATCTTCAAAAATGAAGACTTTTGACCACCTGCTCAGTAAGATCTGTTACCAAGATACTGTTTCATATCGGCTATGCATGGCACACATGTATCCAAAATCCTATAAATTCTGAATGAACGCTCTTTACTTCCAAAAAAAGCTTTTCTTCTTTCTATTGATCAATATCCACATGTGAAATGTGTTAACAGAAAGCACAATGCAGCGTATCGCTCGGACATCTGTATGAAGTTTGATGAATATGAAAAAATGAGGCTCATTTCAGCAATATTGAATTACTTACTTTACATGCGATATCTTTCATTTCTTATAATTTTTCATGTTTCTTCGTACTCTTTTTGTTCCTTATAACTTGTCATAATTCTTCTAATACATCGAAAAGTTTTTCTCGCTTGACTGATATTCTGCGGCGGGATATCATCAACGACAATTATTAAATGTTCTGGAAATTCATTCAAGCTTGTGCCGATTTTCCTCTCATTTTATTTTATTCTTTATGTTCCTTTGTCGTAATGTGAGCAAAATACATATACATAAATATTCTAGACATATAGACCGAAAAATAAAAAGAAAATCAAGAGGAGTGAGAGAGAAGGAGCAGAAATTTTTGAGCGGAAAAATATGCTGTTTCCTGTTAATGACCACCAAAATAAAAAGAAGTGGATAAAAAAAAACACAAGAAGAAGAAAGGCACAGCAAAAAAATGAAAAGTTGTATGTCGTTGTGTTTAATATTCTTCATTCAAAATGTCTCATTGTGTTGCTTTTAGCGACTATAAAAGCAAATTTACAGCCCATATGATCAAGTTTTTTTGCATCATCCTCATTTTCAGTTGAGTCGGTCTGGCAACATAGCCGAAATAGAACAGAAAAACAAATGAATAACAGAACACGCTTTTTATGATTTTGCATTTGAATGGGAGACGAAAAAAATTGTATTTTTTTCAGTAATGAACTAAGAAGGTTCTGGCATGGGGTGTATTGGAGGGGAGTATTTGGGTTGGGGTCATCGAACCTTTTCGATATGGAAGTAAATTTCCATAAGCTTTTCGCAAAAACTTCAAACCAAATCATTTATAATCTCAAATTAATCCCCCCCCCCCCTCCTCTTTCTTTAAATTCTTCTAAGGCTTTTATTTGAGCTGTGGAAATAAATGATGGTCTGTAAGGTCTTATCTACACTCCCAATACACCCCTGAACCATGCTCTACCATATTATTCTATGCACAAAGTTTCTTTCCTTTTGTGACAATAAAAAGACATAATAATTTTCTGCAAACAAATTTATTAAATGCTTATCCTGCGGAGGTGGCGGTAGTGTTGGTTGATATGCCACAGAATGCCGCCTCATTTTCTCCTCTTATTTATGAACAGCAAGCAACTTGAGCCGACTACAAACTATTTTTTTTGGCGCACGAATGAAAAAAAAAAATCAAGCTGCGTTAGCAAAGAGGGAAATTGTGTATATACACACAATAGCAATGAAAATAGAATAATTTTTTTAAATGATATTTTTCAGTATGTGATCTGACATTAAATGAATCTATGGATAGAGAAAAAAAAATATATTTTTTTTATAATCTGAACATGAACATTGTTGGCCAAAAATTAAACCAGAAATCATTAGAGCATGAACAATAATTCATGTTTTGTGACTTCGATAACTTTTTTTTCCACAAGTCATCTTTCTGTATATATACATTGAGTGAGAGTCGAGAAATTTTTTCATATGTGGACTTTTTTTTTGGGGTCTACAAAAACAATAGAATTTTTTTTACAAAAGCATTAATTTTTGTCAACAGAAATTTCTTACTGGAACGTAAGCATGTGCGTGTTTAAAATTTATAAATTTTAATTTTCGATATGTGGCACACCAGCATAAACTTTTTTTTAAAAAATTCATTGATAACAATGTGTTGTGTTTATACGATAATGGCTGCAAGTTTAATCATAATTTAGCTGCTCAACAAATACGATTTTTCTATTAATAAAAATAATTATTAAATCTCCGAAGTGACTCAAAATATATTTATCGATTTTAAAATAATAAAAATTTTAAATTTATCATCATAAATAAAAAATTTGAAACATAAAATTTCATTGAACTATGAATATTGTCAATCAAATTATTGAATGATTTATATGCGTAAAATAATGAAATTTATATTTATTATCTCGTGTGGTTTGTCAGGGTTTGTGGGCTTTGATTTTACATGTTAGAATGCTGTTGAATTATGGGATACTGAAATAGATGAGGCGTTGTGAATGTTCTATATAGAATTGATATGAAGTTATAAGTTAAGGTTTGATGAGTGTTTTGGCACCTGAAACCTGGGCTCATATCCTAGAAAATCAATAACTATTACTTTGGTGCAAGAGGGAGTTTAAGGAGGGCCAAGAAAGCAAATGTAAACTTTTTACATATTGAACCTACTTTACTCACTTACTTCCTAGGCTAGGGCGCACGTGGACCCATTATCACGTTCAGAGATCGTCTAAAGACAGCTCTATCCTTCGAGACTTTCTGCCAGTTCGGGATAGTAAGGACTCTAGCGTCCTTGTCAACACATCCAATCCAGGCA